TTACCACTATTGTTCACTTTCTAACTATTCTCCAGTCGTTTCTTCCGCTCTCTTCCCTTTCTTTAACGCACAAACTGCAAGCGCGCCGCTACACTGCACTCTTTTATCAGCGACAGCCAAAAGCTTCGCTTCATTTCTACTTATACATATGTATGTGTGTGTAGTGCCCGTACGAGGGGGCCGGTTAATGGATCAAACGTGAGGTAAACCGGTTCGTTTGAATCTGAACTCTAAATTTTCAACTGCCCACTCTTTCGGCGTAACTTGCATTGCTTTTGTTTTTGCCTTTTCCGTAGCTCTTTCATTCACATTTCACACAGCTGTTGTTGTTGTCATATATTACTCTCATTGCGGTGTTAAGTTGTAGCTCTATTAGCTTTCGCAATGGTGTGAGGTCTGTAGCCGAGTTGTTTGGTCTTACTGTTGAGCTTCGCTCCGCTCGGTTGATATGACGAACAAGAAATCCGTTATATGACCCAATTCTAAATTGAAAGCCAACTAACAGCACTGCAAACGAAGTTGAAAAGTGAGTAATAAAAAACAATACATTTCGTGAGTGCACGAATGTAGTATTGAGTAAAAAGAGACCAGTTATTGAAATACGAAAAAAAGTAAAATTGCACCATATAGTAGAAGATTAGGTCGGCGGTTACTGTAGAAAGGTATACAATAACAATTGCGTGCTAGAAAGTTTCGTAATTGTTTTAGTACAACGGTAAATGTCGATGTCGCCCTGTACGAAAATCGCAGTGAGAATTTTTGTGTAAGATTGAGCAAGAAAAATATGTTCACCTGTTACTAGAGCGAAATTTTGAGCTTTACCAGTTAGATCAAGTATGTATGTACTTTTGACAAAGTGGGTCTAAAAAAATATATTTTTTAAATATATTTAATGAAATTATTTAATTAGGAATAGAAAACGTATTCAAAATATTCTTAAAAATAGAAAAAATTAACGGGGACAAGCAGTCATATATGAAACGACCAACTAGAAAGTGCTCAAAGAGGATAAGTTAAGGATATGATAGCGTAAGAATGAAAGATTTAAAGATTACGACAACATTTTGGCGTAACTTTTTGGGTTTGAGTTTACCAGAAGTGACATCATAAAAGAATTGAAAGCTTATTTTGAATGAAAATACCATACCGATAGAGGTTCATGCTTGCTACGGAGGGTAAAATATAGAAATACAAATATATTTGTATTTGTTTGTAGGTTTGTATATTCTAACATTTCTAATATCTAACTTTTCACTACAGGGTACGTGACAGCATTCTCTCATACGTACATATGTATGTCTAAAATTATTAGCATAAGTTACATGGTGAAAGTAAGAAAGTCGTATGCATAATAATAAATTAAAGCAACTCTAAGAACAATAATAAATAATAAAATAAAAAATAATTTAATAAAAAATGCATTTTGTTGGATTACAATAAAATAAATAGTAGAACTTTGGACAAAGAGAAAGAATTTATTTGCAGTTCTGGCAAGTTAAGCTACAAAAAGTACAAATGTTATTTAAGTGTTCATAAATATATTTTCGATTTTAGACCCGATCAAGCAGTTGTGAGTTTAATTTATGACACGCACGAAAAGAAAAATGAAAGGAACTATCAAATTTGTATAGTAATTCCAAAGAAATTCAAATTCATGACGTCTCTCACGAATGTATTATTCTGTCCAGCGCATCAAAAAATAAAAAATTATGTTAACTTCGGTTAGCTATAATACCCTTCACAAATAAAAATAACTTTCTATACAAGAATTTGATTTTTATCTTTCAGATCGTATGGCAGCTATAGTAAAACGATCTGGAAATTTATTTGGTTATTGTATCGTTGTCTTTTACATAAATTCACAATAATTCATGCAAAATTTTGTGAGGACATCTTGTCAAATAAATAAGTTTTCCATACAAGCACTAGGATCTCATTGTTCAGTTTGTATGACAGTTATATGCTATGATGGTCTAATACCGGCGGTTCTGATAAATAAGCAGTTTCTTGGGGAGAAAAGAGCATGTGCAACACTTCATGTTGATATCTCAAAAACTAAGTGACATATAAATCAACTTAGCTCGATTGCTTCTGAGTGTTACAAATAATATAATAACGGTTGGAAACTGTCGTAATCACTATTTCTATAATTTTGGACGCCGTTTCAGGCTTGTTTCTGTGTCTTAACGATTTTAGTAAAAACGCCTCTTGATGCCTGATATAAAATACAGGAACCCTTAACAGCTTTTCACAAATTTCGGAGACAAGAATGAACGCTATATGTTTATATTAAAATATTTTTATAAGTTCAACGGTAAACTTTTTATAAAACTTTTATAAGAGCGTTAGAAATCTCTCTAAATACAAGTCTACATTTCCACTTCTAAAAACAATGTCTAAATTAGAAAATTTCTAAGAGTCTCATAAGCGGAAGTAAATATCAGTAAGCGCAATCAAAACTTCCACATCTCGCGTTATATGACGGTGGGACGATTTAGGTCGATCGCTGCACAAACTTTTACAAGTTCATTTCACCTCCAGTATCGAACTCACACAATCAACGGTGTTAATATCTAGAAATGTATTTAATAAGCTTTGCTAGCTGTGCATTTAAGAATTTCTACAAAAAGTTTAATGCATGCGGCACGACAGCTTTAGGTCAGCAGCTCAATATAAACCGATCATGCATGACAAGTTGTTTTTTCCAAAAAGAAACTTTCTGTTGATTGAGCTTTCGGCGGCTTTTATAATTCTACATGCATATGTACCTACATATGTATGTATATAGCAGCAACTATTTTAGCGGCGAAATTTCACACTGTGCGATCGTGACGTTGTCGTTCCTGCAGAAAGTGTTCAATGAACTCGCCAACGACATAAATGTGGGTCAGTTCTCTTGTCACTTGCCGCCTGCATAAGCGAGTGAGCGCGCAATGACAACAACATGCATGCATTATACATTGGTATATACAGTAGTTTATTTGTTTGTATGTATCTATATACATATATAAAGTGAGTTTTGTGCAAATGAATTTGAATTCACCTTGCTTCGGCAGTCGAAAGAAAAAACAATTGCAGAGAAAGGTTCACTTAAGAAGAAAGAGCTAGAGATTTCAAGAGCTGCTTGAAGCTAAGCATCCATACCTGCTGCGACTAGCAATGATAGAAGTTGAATTCTATACATACGTATATATATGTATGCATACCATATGTTTCTAAAATGAGAAACTCTAATTCATCAATAATTTTCTCCAACTAACTGTAAAATATTTAAGTATATTGATCTCGTTAGAAGTGCTTTAATTTTAATGAGATACTTAAGTGCTACAACGAATATATATGTATGTAAGTATAAGGTTGAGAATATAATATAATACAAATACACATATTATAATGGCAGCCTCTGAGTGTTATGCCTCACGTAATTTAAAGCGTGAAAGTTATTATTACTGAATTATTTTGCGTTCACACAATTTGTTTCTTTTGTTTGTTTAGCGATAAAGCATTTAGCCTTTTTGACCAGTCGTCGCTTCGACGCATTTGCGTCTGCCGCTAGAGTTCATTAGCATTTCGGTCTCATTTTGAACCTTTGTAAATTAATAGTTCTTTTTTTGTTCATTCTCAAAAATGAAATTTCACGTTATGCACAGTGTTCACGATATGGAAAAAACAGCAATAAAATTTGTATAATTTTTTAGTTGTAGCTGCTTTGTTCAGTATTTTTGTTTGCTTATACTTATGTATGTGTGTATGACATTATAAAGTTAATTCAGCTTAACTGTTATTAGTGGTGTCTAATTTCAGAGTGGTAAATGTTGTTGTATATATGATTTATATATTATATATACCTTTAGTAATAGTAGGAACCATTAAAATAGCTGCTTCCAATATATAAGACAGGCTGTGGCGAAGCGAACATCCAATAGATATAGATAGGTATAATTAAATTGAACTAACATATGATTATACCCGCTAATTGATGTAAACCACATACTTTTAATTTACATTTTAATAAGTCAAGTTAAAATTTAGCGTCTAGTGGCGACTAATATAAGCAATATATTTTCGAAAAAATCTATAAGATTTTGT